TCTATTACTTCTGATGTGCTTGCTTTCCTGTTGATTATGCTTTTCGTCATCTTTAAAGGGATTGCTCAAAGTAGTGGAATGCAGAACGATTCCTGTTGTAGCACATTTTAAATTGAGTTCTTTTGTGCGTAATTAAAAAGGAATTCTGTTCATGGTGAATTGCAATTTGTTTCCTTTAGTGGCGGATTACAAAAGGATTCCTTTTGTGGAGGATTACAAAAGGATCCCTTTTGTGGAGGATTACAAAGGGATTCCCTTTGGTGGAGGAATACAAAGGGATTCCATTTGTGGAGGATTACATATTGATTTCCTTTGAGTGCTTTCCTGGAAGTGAACCAGGGGACAAAAGAAAAAAAAAAAAAAATCAGAAAATCATTCAAGATTAAGAGAATTGCAGGTTTTCAATGATTTTCCAATGCTTTGAAGCAAAAACATATAAAAACACAGCATTTTCACAATCCGAATGCAAAAATGCTGTGTTTTCATATGGTTTCGGCCTCAAAACCTTGGACATGCCGTGTTTTTATATGTTTTTGCTTCAAAACATTGGAAATTCATTGAAAACCTACAATTTTCATAATTTTCAAAGATTTTATGTTTTTTTTTTTTTTTTCTTTTGTCCCCTGGTTCACATCCAGGAGAGCCCTCAAAGGAAATCAACTTGTAATCCTCCACAAAGGAATCCCATTGTATTCCTCCACCAAGGGGAATCCCTTTGTAATCCTTCACAAAAGAGATCCTTGTGTAATTCACCACAGAAGGATTCCCTTTTGTAACTCGCCACACAAAGGAATCATCATGTGATCCTCCACAAAAGAAGTCCTTTTGTAATTCTTCACAAAAGGAATCCTTTTGTAATCTGCCACAAAATAAAACAATGTGTAGTTCACCACAAAAGGATTCCCTTTTGTAGTTCAACAACAAAAGAAATCAATTTTTAATCCGCTAATGTTTGTTTCGGGCCTCCGGAGGCCAGAGAATCGAGATATTAAGGCTTATTAGTCTCTCTGGAACGCGCTTCGGCGCTCACCCACTGGAAGTAAGAGGGGTGAGGAGGAAGAGACGGAGGTGGATGCGGAGGAGGAGGAGGAGGAAGAAGGGTAAAGAGAGGATAACTTTAATCTGGTGGGCTGTGCTTCCCACTCGATTATGCTCTGTGTAACTCATTATGACAACGCATTGCTCCCAACGCATCTCGTCATCACCATCATCATCAGCAACATCTTGAAACGCATGCTCGTCATCACCATCGTCATCAGCAGAATCTTGAAACACATACTCATCATCATGATCGTCATCAGCAGCATCTTGAAACACATGCTCGTCGTTACCATCGTCATGGGCAGCATCTTGAGACACATACTCGTCATCATCATCATCATCGTCATCAGCAGCATCTTGAAACACATGCTGGTCAGCACCATCGTCATCAGCAGCATCTTGAAACACATGCTCGTCAACACCATCGTCATCAGCAGCATCTTGAAACACATGCTCGTCATCACCATCGTCATCAGCAGCGCATTGAAACACATGCTCGTCATCACCATCATCATCAGCAACATCTTGAAACACATGCTCGTCATCATCATCATCGTCAGCAGCATCTTGAAACACATGCTCGTCATCATCATCATCGTCATCACAAAAGACACCCACCTCTCATATAATCGTACTACAGATGGATCCACTTCCGAGAGAATCCTATTACATATGGATCCACCTGCCATAGAATCCGATTAGGAATGGATCCACCCCTGATAAGATCCCACTACAGATGGAACCACCTTAAATATAATCTTATGACATATGGATCCGCCTCTAATAGAATCCCATTAGAGATGGGTCCACAACTAATGGCATCACATCAGAGATGGATCCACCTCGAATGGAATCCTGGTACGGATGGACCCACCTCTAATATAATCCTTTTACACATGAACCCACGTCTGATTGAACCCCACTACATATGCGTCCACCTCGAATATAATTATATTAACGATGGATCCACCTCTGATAAAATCAAATTAGACATGGATACGCCTCTAATGGACTCCAATTACATATGGATCCACCTCTAATAGAATCCTAATAAGATGGTTCCATCCCCAATGGCATGCTATTAGAGATTGGTCCACCTCTAACAGAATCCTGTGACAAATGGATCCACCTCGAATGGGATCCTATTAAGGATGGACCCACCTCTAGTTGTATCTGATTAGGGATGGATCTAATGGAATCCTAGTGCGGATGGATCCATCTCGAACAGAACCCTGTGACATATGGACCCACCTCTAATATAATCCCATTACATATGGGTCCACCTCTCAGAGAATCCTATTAGGGATGGGTCCACCTACCTCTGATGGGGTCCTACATGACATGAGTCCACCTCTAATAGAATACTATTACATATGGATCGACCCCTAATAGGATCGTAATACAAACGGGTCCACCCCCAATTCAATCCTACCAGAATCCTGATACAGATGGGTCCACCTCTGATGGAATCCTATTACAGATGGATCCACATCTACTAGAATCCTGGTACAGATGGATCCATCTCTAATGGAATCCGACTACAGCTGGATCCACAACTGATGGAATCCTATGAGAGATGGGCCCATCTCAACTGAAAGTCTATTACAGATCGATCCGCTCCAAATGGAATCCTAACAGAGATGGGTCCACCTTTTTAATAGAATCCTGCTACACATGGATTCACCTCTAACAAAATCCTATTCCAGATGGATCCACTTCTAATTGAGTATTATTAGAGATGGGTCCACCTATAATGGGATCCGATTAGACATGTATTCACCTGTAATGGAATCCTATATGAGATGGATCCACCTCTAGTGGGGTCCTATTAGCGATGGATCCACCTCTAAGATCATCCCATTCCATATATCTCCACCTCTAATAGAATCCGATGTGAGATGGATCCACCTCTCATAGAATCCTAGTAGCGATTGACCCACCATGTACACCCCCTCCCTACAGAAGGTTTTCTTTTGTGGCGGATTACGAATTGATTCCTTTTGTGGCAAAATATACAGTGATTCCTTTTGTGTCGGATTACACATAGATCCCTTTTGTGGTGAATTACAAATCAATTGTGTTTGTGGCGGGTTTCAAATTGATTCCTTTTGTGGCGGATTTGAAATGGATTTCTTTTGTGACGGATTACAAATTGATTACAAGGATGATGATGCTGGTGATGGCGATGCAACGCAGCAAAACGAGGTGGTACGCACACACGGTTTTATCAACTCCACCCCCCCTCCCCCCACCCCCTTTCCACCCCCCCTCCCCCCACCCCCTTGTGCGCACCGCCAAGAGTGGGTGCGAGTCGCTAACTAGGCAGCCCTGGCCCAACCGCGGTCTGGGGAGATCCCAGCACAGCGCATCAGCCGACCCGGCTGCAGCTGGCGCCTTCACGCTGGCCACAGGGCCCGCGCAAAAAAGAACCCGCAGTATAGCCCCAGGAGGGGCCCCTTGGGTCCTCCGCCGGGGCGCGAAGATGATTATTTGATCGTTTCGCTCATTCCGCCGGCCCTGGAGCGCTGTTTGGGGCCTCTTGGGACCGTTTTGGGGGCTTCTTGGGGGCTTCTTGGGAGCGTTTTGGGGCTCCTTGGCGGCGTATTGGGCTCCCCTGGGGCCTCTTGGGGGGCTCTTGGGGGCACCTTGGGGCGGGAGGGGGGGTAGTCGTTGGCAGGCCCCCCCTCGGAGGCCACGATCCTCGTGAGGGGTGGCGAAAAATAGCCCCCCCCATGGGGATCACCCGGGGGTCAGCCGGGGATCGGCCGGGGTACTTTTCGTCCGGGGCCCCCCAGGGGCCGCCCCGCGCGCGCGAATTAGAAATATTGTTCAGTAGTTACCGGAGATCTTAGTATGCCTCTGGCCCGTTGGGCCGGCAAATTTCCCATTCGCGCGTCGCGATTCGCGACCTGGGCCAGGGAGTTGCCCTTTTGCAGGGTGGCGGCACGGCGATGCAAGGACACCCGCGCGTTGGGCGACTCAGGTTTCCGCTTCCCATATGTCCCCTGGCACCCGTGCAGGACTTTGTTTGTTTTTCCTTACCTACGCTCTGCCTAGAAGGGTTCTTACTCTGTAGCTTAAAAGGGCCAGGCAGTGCTAACCGCCCCGGGCGGTTCCCCCGGTCCCCTGGGAGCCAAGCAAAAGCAACAGCGAAGGTAAAAACAAACGCGCGGTTCCCCCAGTTGCGCTCCCTGGGTGCCAAGCAAAAAACAAAAGCAAAAGCAAAGGCAAAAGTGAAGGCAAAAGCGAAGGCAAAGCAAAAGCATAGCATAGCATATCATAACATAACATAGCGCAGCATAGCATAGCGCAGCCTAGCCTAGCCTAGCCTAGCCTAGCCTAGCCTAGCCTAATTAGCCCAGCCTAGCATTGCGCAGCACAGCGTAGCATAGCATAGCATAGCATAGCAGAGCAGAGCAGAGCAGAGCATAGCATAGCATAGCATAGCGCAGCACAGCATCCACTGGTGCTGCTGCTATATCTATATATGTATATATATGTGTACTACTACGCTGCGGCGGTTCTGGCGCTACTACTACTACTACTACTACTACTACTGCTACTACCACTACTACTACTACTACTACTACTACTACTACTACTACTACTACTACTACGACTACTACTACTACTACTACTACTACTACTACTGCTGCTGCTGCTGCTGCTGCTGCTGCTGCTACTACTACTACTACTACTACTACTACTGCTACTACTACTACTACTACTACTACTGCTACTACTACCGCTACTGCTACTGCTACAGCTGCGACGATGAGGAGAAGGAGGAGGACGGCGTTTACCGCTCCTACTAATGTTGCTTTCCTAGAGGCTCCAACCCCTAGGTAGGGTCGCACTGGGATAATTTGGAAACGTTGGAGGAAGAGGACGAGGAGGAGGAGGACCTGGAAGACGAGGAGGGTGACCAGCACGAGGACGAGGAGGACGATGAGGACGAGGACGCGGAGGATGGGAGGCGACGGTAGAAAAACTGACGCCATCAGCCACAACGCCGGGATCGTCGCTTGTGAGAAAAGTGGGCAATGGCAGCGGTCGTTGTCACTGCTCGGCGAGATAAGAGGGGCGGCGATGGAGTCCAACATCATCAGCTACACCAGTGGGATCAGCGCGTGCGGGAAGAGCTCGCAGTGGCAGAAGGCATTGTCGTTGCTTCGTGAGTCTTGGAGAGCTATGTTAGATCCAGAGGTGATGAGTTACAGTGTTTCGATATGCATGTGCGAGCAAGGTGGAGAATGGCAGCAGGTGCCGTCGCTGTTCACCAGGCTGTCGGAGGCGAAGCTTGGGGCTGTCATTTAGCATTCGCGGGGTGTTGTGGTGTGACAGTCGAGTGCGAAAATATGCGTGGCGAGAGCGGACATCGTCGCTCTGAGAGGTTTGGCCAGCGAAGTTGGAATCGAGCTTCCTCGGCACGCGTCTTCAAGTTAGGTCATTGGCATCTGCAGACATAAAAACGAGAGTTCTGGGTCACGGAGCCTGGCGCGCACATATTCGCAGCTTCGGGGCATGACAGTCCGACACGAGGTGTTGCATTCCTTGTTCATAAACGACATGCGCGACACATACGAAGCTTCAAAGCAGTTAACGAGCGGGTCGCCTACATCGACGTCGACTTCCCACATCGTCTGCTCCGAATCGTCACGGCTTACTTCCCACATGGAGGATACAGTGACCAACACGTGCAATGTATGTACGACGTACTTGCAGAAATACACGCTGATGCCCACCAACAGCACCGGACGACCATCATCTCAACGCACGAGTTGGTAAACGGAGCGACGACGACGACGATTCCAGCGCTAGCAGGGCAGAGAAGCGTACTATTGGCAACCACGGGCAGAACGGGTACAAACAGCGCGGCACCTGGCTACGATCGTGGGCGTGCGTGCGCAAATTCACAATCACAAACACGATGTTTTACAAGCATTTCGACAACGTGTTCACGTACACGAGCGCTGGCACCAACCACAAGCAAACGCAGATCGACTACATTCTGATGGATCAGCAGGCCCGGCATTTGGTCCTGGATTCGTTCGCCACGACGTGCCCCGACCTCGGCTCCGACCACCAAGCCGTGCACCTCCGACTAGCACTGGACGACGCGACACCACGAGCACGACGACGAAAACGACGACAGACTCGCACGCACCGAGAGCCTCACCGACCGAACGACCCCGACTTCAGCACCATCTGAAGAGACACCTCACTACCATCATCCCGCCAAGTGGTCCCCGAGACACCGTTGCACACACCGAACAAGCACTAGTAGCAGCCCAGAGAGACTACCAGCAACAACAAGACCAACAACAACATCTTCAACAAAACGCAGCTAGCAACGATGACGTGGCAAAGCAACACCTGCACGCACTTATTACGCAACGCAGAAACACAGCGTACGCCGACACAACCACCCCAACAGCTCTCAGCAAACGTGTTCTACGTGCGCACCGGGACATCAAAAGGGCTCAACGTCAGGCAATCCTGAACGACATCATCGTTAGTTTCCGCGGCCTGAACAAGATCTCTGGGATCAAGTCCAGCAAGAAGAAGGAGCTCATACCGGCCATGACAACAGCAAAGGGCTCCGACGAGACGGACCGACAGGGAATTGCAGACGTCCTCGCGGACTTCTATGAGAAGCTGTACCGACGCCCTGAAAGCACTACGTTGCCTACGCCCAACAGCTCCCCAGACGCCCAAGAAGAATCAGCAAAGCGACCCCGACAGAGTATTCCACCATTCACCTACGAGGAGTTGCACCAAGCAGTGAAGCATCTCAAAAACGGTAAGTGCAAAGACACGGCTGGGCTCACCGCAGAGCTGCTGAAAGCAGGGGGGGACACGATCGTGAAGCATTTGTTGGTGCTCTTCAACGACATTATAGCACTTGAGCAGACACCGCCGGAACAGTGGAGACACACCACCATCAGCGTAATCCATAAGTCCGGAGACCCGCAATTACCAAGCAACTACAGACCCATCGCCATCGTACCACTACTATACAAACTCATGTCCCGACTGCTTTGCAACCGACTTGACACACTCTTCGACGCACAGCAATCGCCTGACCAAGCTGGCTTCCGCAAGGGCCTAAGCACAGAGGATCACCTCTTCACTGCAACTACACTTTGCGAGCAGTCCTACCAATGGCAGCTCCCACTCTGGACAGCTGCTATCGATTTCAAGAAGGCTTTCGAGTGCGTCGACCATCTGTGTTTGTGGGAAGCCCTGAGGAAACAAGATGTGCCAGAACCCTACATCACCTTGCTGCAAAATTTCTACAGCGATCAAAGTGCCACAGTAAAGACCGACGTCAGAAGCAGACAATTCAACATCGAGCGCGGCGTCAAGCAAGGGGACCCGCTGAGCTCATATTTGTTCAACGCGCTACTCGAGCAAATCTTCCTGAACATCAAACCAACTTTGGCACGAAAGGGTTTCGGCATACAATTGGGAAGTGCCCAGACGACGCGCTTGACCAACTTGGGACTTGCTGACGACGTACTTCACTTATCACCCAATCTACGACAACTTAAGTGTATCTTGCGGGACCTCAAACACGAAGCTGCGAAGTGTTGACTTACACTGCACCCCGGCAAAACGAAAACCCTCACAAATGTGAGCAGGCGACAGGGGCGATGACGTGGACATCGACGACGACAAGGTCGAAACCCTCAGCGCCGAGGCAAGCACCAAATACCGGGGTCGCAAGCTGACGCTGCACGACTCCCACCACGCCGAGCTCACCAACAGACTTGTAATGGGATGGCGCAAATCCAACCAATTCCGCAACGAGCTCACCATCAACCGGTACCCCCTTCACAGCAGACTCAGGCTCTTCAGCGGGACAGTGACGCCAACTGTCACGTACGGCTGCGCAACGTGGACTTTGACCAAGGACATGCTCCTCCGACGCACCCAACGACGCATGCTACGACTCATTGTCAATTCCTCGAGACGCCGACAGAGACCACCCCACACCAGCACCGCCGAAAGCACATTCCACCCTGACAATGACCAGCACGACGACAGCACAAACGACGACAGCAGTTCCGACGTCAACCGGCATCTAGACTTTGACGACGTCGACGACGAATCCGACATTGAACCCTGGGACCATTTCATCCGCAGGGCAACCCACACCGCCTCAGACCTTGCGACGCGCGCACAGGTGGAGGAATGGGTGACGATTTATCACAAGCGTAAATGGAGATGGGCTGGGCAAGTTGCCACACAACCACACCACTCTTGGGCCCGACTGGCAGCGGCATGGGAGCCTGATAGTATCCATGACTTTCGGGCAGCACAACGCCGACAGGGTGGACAGCGAAAACGGTGGAGTGACGATATCACAGAATTCTCACAGAGCGATTTGGTGGGGAGCGCACCCGGCACATGGTTACTGAGTGCTACACATGTCAAATCCTGGACGGACTTCGAGAGCATCTTCTTGAAGTTCATGCGCCTATGACCGGGCTCCGGCCCGGCCCGCCCGCGCCGCGCCTAAGGGGCCTGCCGGCCCGCCGGCCGGCGGACTCGCGCGTCTCGTCTCGTCGTCTCGTCTCATTGGCATCTGCAGCGGGGCCCTGTCGCTCAGTGGCTGGACGAGTGCTGGGCGGAGCACGAGTTCGACGTCGCCTGCCATATGCCGGGGCCAGTAATTATGTAAACCGGTTGCTCATACTTTCATGCGCATCCTGTGACAGTGAAAGATGGCGAGTGCTCTCGGCCAGCTTAAGTGACATGACGTGGAAGCCTATCGCCAAGCGGCGATATCGATGTACCTCGGCATGATATGTCGCAACTTGACGCGGACCCCAAGAAGGCCAAGCTAAGCCCTGTGTCTGGTAATCTCAAGACGGAGTATATTGCGCGATCTGCTACCCACTGCGACTCTAGATTCCGCGCGCACGACGCCCGCAAGCGTTGTGTGTGTTCGTGGAAGCAGTCGGGTCGTGGCAGCAGCCACTGTCGGTGCTCGGCGAGATGCAGGAAGCGAAGTTGCGACTCGAGGCCATCACATGGGACGCTGGGGTCGGCGCGTGCCCGAGAGGGGGGCCCTGTCGCTGATGTGCGGGATGCGGGAGGTGAAGCCGACGTCCACTGCCGTATGCCGCAGAACCAGGATCAGAGCGCGCGCGAGAGAGAAGTGCGCGGGCATCCGGCCTGACACGTGCCAGCCGTGCTGGCCCAAGCTGCTGGGGCCCAAGCAAGCACCACGTGACGCGCCCTGCCTCGCCGACGACCGACTGCCTGCCCCCGACGACCGACTGCCCGCCTGCGGCTCCACGCCAGCGCAGGGGCCGCGGCCCGTCGCTTTTGATGGGCTCGTTGGCGCCCAGGTCGGCGCTCGACGGTGCCGCCGCCGGGGGGCCGTGGGCGGCCTGCCTGCTGCAGGGGGCACCGCCTCAGTGAGCACGTGGTCGCGCCGCCGACTCTGGAGCGCGGTGGAGATCTCGAGGAGCGGTGGATCTGGATCTCTGCCCGCCCGCACGGGCGGGCAGGTGTCCCTACCCACCGCGCCCCGAGTCCCCGGGACCCGACCACGCGGCAGTGGATGTGGGCATACTCCGGCGGCGCACGAGCGTGCCCCCGCGGACGAGCGAGGACGGGCGAGGGTCCGACTGGCCCTGCGCTGCCCGTCGGCTCTGCCTTGCCCGCTGGGCCAGGGGGCCCTGGTGCTTCGCTCTCGGCGCGACAGCCTGTGCCCGCTCGGACTCCTCGGCGGCTGCGCGCGCGCAGGACCAGCCGAGGAAGAAGCAGCGCCATGCGCACAGACGTCCGGAGGTCCGCGCGTATTTGGCTCTCGGGTGGCATTGGCTTCCACATCGGCGCCTTTGGCGCCGCCCTTGGCTCGCTCCGCGCGCCAGGCAGGGGGATCCAGTGCGGATGCAAGACCTCCGCGCGGACACGCGCGGACCTCCGGTGGTGTGTGCTTGAGCAGATCCGTCGGTACCAAGGTCGGCCTGAAACATGCAGGTTCTGGGGAACATGCATGAGTAGGAGGATCAAGAAGCAGAGTAAAGTGAGGATCAGGCGGGAGCGGAGGAGGAGGAGGCTGTGGAGGAGGAGGAGGAAACGCAGGAGGAGCAGGAGGAGGAAGGGTGACGAAACGAGGAGGGTAAGAGCGAGGAGGACCACGATCATGAAGATAAGGAAGAGGAGGAGACCCGGGAGAAACAATATTCGATTTCTTCAGCTCTTCCAGGGATCTTCCCAGGGAGTCCCTCCGACCAAGCCGCCAGTGGAGCAGCCTTCTTCATCCTTTTCTGCAAGTGCGCTTTCATGGGTGTAGTCTTATTGCCCGTCCTACTCATCTCTACTACGTTGCAGGGACATGCGCGTGCGAGAAGGAGGGACCCCCTGAGCGTTCCAAGAATCCTCTCAAAGGGGCCCCAGAGACCAGAATCCTCGATTTCCATTGGTTTTTGAGGATTTTGATATGCTTGCCTCTTCGTGCTTCCGACGCTCCAGGCGGGCCCCCGATGCCGCCAGGATCGCCTCTAGACGACTCAAGATCTCCCCAAGACGGCCCACGAATCTCCCAAAGCGCCCCGACACGGTCCAAGAGGTCCCCGATGTTGCCCGCAGAGGCCCCCAAGACGGCCCATGAGAGCTCAGCAACGGCCCCAAGAGGCCCCCAGGGAGCTCAAAGAGGCTGCCTTCCACCCCAAGAGGCCCCCCAGATGCCCCAGATGCCTCCCAAACTGCTCCGCGCGGCCCCAAGGAGACTCCCTGAGCGTTCCAAGACTCTTCTCAAAGGGCGCCCAGAGGCGAGAATCGCCGATTTTCCTATGGATATATTATATATATATATATATATATATATATATATATATATATATATATATATATATATATACACATATATTGGCATGCTTGCCTTTTCGAGCTTCCGGCGGTACAGGCGAGCCCCACAGGCCGCCAGGATCGCCGCTGGACGGCTCAACATCGCCCCAAGCTGGCCCACATATCTCCCAAGAGCGTCCCGAGACGGTCCAAGAGGTTCCGAAGACTGCCCTCCAGCCGAACAAGAGCGGACCACGTGGGCTCGGCTCAACTGAGATAACCCGGGGGCCCCTCCATCCCTCCTCCCGTCTCCTCCCCCCTCCTCGCCAAATATGCTGTACCATCGACGACGACGACGACGACGACGACGACGACGACGACGACGACGACGACGACGACGACCGCGACGACAAGGACGACGACGACGATTCCAGCTGAACCTGTCTCCACGAAGCGTTCATCCGTCTTCGTAAACAATGATATTTCGACAGGGCGGCGACCACGACAACGACGACCACGAAGACGACGACCACGGCGACGACGACCACGATGACTCGGGCTGAACCTGTACCCCTAAAGCGGTAAACCCGTCTTCATAAAACATGATCGACCCACGAACCTGGAAAGGAATATAGAATTGTAACACATGGCAGCGTTTTCAAAGACACCTGATTGGGTGACGGGCAAATGCAATGCTGAGTGTATCGACCTTGATGTACCCTGCCGAGGGCTGTGCTGTGCTGCACCGTGCTTAATTGCGATGTGCCATGCCGCGAATGTGCTCTATACCGTCATGGATCGAGTCCTCCTTTGCATCCGAGTCCTGACCGAACTGATCTGGATCTTAAGCTCGAGCTACCTGAACACATAGTAGCTGCCCCAGAGCTGATGGACAGGAGAGCATGTCAGGAGGACGCGCCGCGAAACTTCCCAAGGGATGCGCCAGGCGACGTGCCAGGGGACATGCGATGGGGTCGCACCGCGGGACGTGCCAAGGGGACGCGCCACGGAACGTGCCAATGGATGTGCCACGGGATGTGCCAGGGGACGCGCCACGCGACGTGCCAGGGAGACTCGCCAAGGGACGCGCCACGGAACGTGCCAAGGAACGTGCCAAGTTGCAATGCTGAGTGTATCGATCTTGATGTACAGTGCCGAAATATGTGCTGTGCTGCGCCGTGCTGAATTGCGATGCGCCATGCCGCGATTGTGCTCTATAGCCTCGTGGATCGAGTCCTCCTTTGCATCCGAGTCCTGACCGAACTGATCTCGATCTTAAGCTCGAGCTGCCTGAACACAGAGTAGCTGCCCCAGAGCTAATTGACAGGGGGACATGCCAGGAGGACGCGCCGAGGAACGTCTCAAGGGACGCGCCAAGCGACGTGCCAAGGGACGTGCCATGGGGACGCACCGCGGGACGTGCCAAGGGGACGCGCTACGGAACGTGCTGGGGACAAGCGTTTCGCTCGAGACACCTATCAAAATCCAAGGAAATCCTGGGAAAACAAACGAATTAGTCGAGACATCCTCGAAATTCCTGCGCGCGGGACGGGGCACGCGCGAGACATCCTCGGAATTCCTGCGAACGGGACGTGAAAACAAGCATTTTGCCTGAGACATCCTCTGAATTCTGGCCCCCCACGAGGCCCCCGCTCGAGACATCCTTCAATTTTGCAGAACCGGTGTTTCGCTCGACACATCTTCAACAAATTATGAAAATTTTGCCAAACCAGTGTTTCGCTCGAAACATCCTCAACCAATTGTGGAAAAACAAGCATTTCGCTTGAGTCCTGCCAAAACTCAAGGGAATCATAGAACAACAAACGAATTAGTCGAGACATCCTCGAAATTCCTGCGCGCGGGACGCGGCACGCGCGAGACATCCTCGGAATTCCTGCGCGCGGGGCGCTTTTCCGCGTCGCGGTCGGCTCTGCAAAACCAGCGTTTCGCTTGAGAAATCTTCAACAAATTCTGAAAACAAGCGTTTCGCTCGAGACATCCCCAACTCTGCAAAACCAGCGTTTCGCTCGAGACATCCTCCACTAATTCTGAAAACAAGCGTTTCGCTCGATAAATCCTCCTAATTCATTCCGCCGGCCCACCTCGACCTCGATATTCATCAAGGAATAATTCAGCCGGCCAACCTCAAGTCAGGTCCGGGGGTAAACCTCTAAAAGAGAACCCTGGGCCTAAGCCCTTTCCGGGAAAAAAGGATACTCCGACAGGGCTGCGACCGCGACCACGACCGCCACGACGACGACTACGACTGGGAAGACGACGACCTCGACAATTCCAGCTGAATCGGGATCCCCAAAAAAGTGAACCCGTCTTCATAACATGATGGACCCACGAACCCGGAAAGGGATATAGACATGCGCAGCATGGTCACGTTTTCACGATACCCAACTGGGCGACCCCTCACAAAACATCCCACGAGACACCCCGCGAAACATCCCACGAGACACCTCGCGAAACATTCCACGAGACACCTCGCGAAACGTTCCACGAGACACCCCGCGAAACATTCCACGAGACACCCCACGAAACATTCCACGAGACACCCCACGAAACATTCCACGAGACACCCCACGAAACATTCCACGGGGGTGCGACTGGGTGTGGTCGTGCTGGGGTGTGGTCTTGCTGGGGTGTGGTCGTGCTGGGGGGGTGGTCGTGCTGGGGGGTGGTCGTGCTGGGGCGTGGTCGTGCTGGGGCGTGGTCGTGCTGGGGCGTGGTCGTGCTGGGGTGTGGTCGTGCTGTGGTGAGGTCGTGCTGGGGTGGTCCGCACCCTGTGATTTAGCACCGCGAGCAACGACAGGCAACCACTCAACCAGGACAACCACGAGGAGACGCGTAACGCACGCAACGGTACGGGCGCCACTCATCAAACACACAGGGAGTCCGTGGCTGCATCGGTTGAGTGGTTGCCTGTCGCCGCCCCCTGGGCGGATCCCCCTCGTAGTCGTCGTCGTCGTCGTCGTCGTCGTCGTCGTCGTCGTCGTCGTCGTCGTCGTCGTCGTCGTCGTCGTCGTCGTCGTCGTCGTGGTCGTGCTGGGAGGTGGTCGTGCTGGGGAGTGGTCGTGCTGGGGCGTGGTCGTGCTGGGGCGTGATCGTGCTGGGGTGTGGTCGTGCTGTGGTGAGGTCGTGCTGGGGTGTGGTCGTGCTGGGGTGTGGTCTTGCTGGGGTGGGGCCGTGCTGGGGTGGGGTCGTGCTGGGGTGTGGTCGTGCTGGGGTGTGGTCGTGCTGGGGTGGGGTCGTGCTGGGGTGGGGTAGTGTTGGGGTGTGGTCGTGCTTGTCGTGCTGGGGTGTGGTCGTGCTGGGGTGTGGTCGTGCTGGGGTGGGGTCGTGCTGGGGTGTGGTCGTGCTGGGGTGTGGTCGTGCTGGGTCTTAGCACCCCTGTGACACCGAGCGCCTCGGGGGAGGGGAAGGCGGGGCGCCCCTATAAACCCCGAAGACCGGCTGTGCAGAGCGCCAGCTGCGGGGCGCCGGCGCCCGCGGGCGACTCGAGGGCCGCGCCCAGAGGGAGAGGGTTGGGGAGTGGAAGCGAAGGACTCGAGGATTCCCCGGGTCGTTTTTGTTTTCACGGTCGCGGGGCCCGCCCGTGGGAGCCTCCGTTCGCGGACCCCGGACAGCATGCACGTGGCAACACGCATGGCAACATGCACGTGACAATATGGATGCGACAAACAGGAGGACGAGGAGGAATACCTCCGAACCCGCCTCGTCCTCCTCCACCTGCTCATCCTCCTCCTCCTCCTCCTCCTCCTCGTACTCCTCCTCCCACTCATATTCTCTTCCTCCTCCGTGTGATCCTACCCTTGCGCCGCGTCGAGACTGCAACGGCGTCCCCTGATGCATCCCTTTTCTGGGCCACTCTGTACACGACCTCACCAAACTACAATCTGGGATACTGGGATTCTGGCGACGACCGTCGCGGTGAACCACGCGCCCTGCAGACGGCCGTTGTTTTCCTAAACATTGGCGACAAATAGATCGACGAGCTGGCATACCCAGAAATAAAGAAAGTGCGCTAGAGGAGCGACCCCAATCAGCGCGCGACCCCAATCAGCGCGGCATGGGGGGGAGAGGAGGCGGAGGAGGAGGAGGAGGGGGGGAAGGATGAGGACGAGGAGGAGGAGGAGGAAGAGGAGGGAGGAGGCAAGGGGGGCAGGACATGCAAGAGGGGCAGGCTTACTCAGAGCACCCCGCGGGCGGGCTAGCCGCAAGTCAGGCATGGCCCCGGCGGAAGCACGGCGGCGGCTCCAAGTACCACCTGCCAATGCCTGCATGGAAATATCGATGATACTTGCCATAAATGCAAAGGCATGTTTGCGCCTTGGTCTGGTGCATGCTGTGTTCCCTGGCGATCTGCTGCAATGTGAGGTCTGGCCGGCCCTCACATTTCGCCACGAGCCGCAAGCCAATCCGGCTTCCTGTGCGCAAAAACATATGGCGGCCCTTATCTGCCACATGAGCACGTACGCCTCGCGCAGCGTAGGGGCCAGTTCGGGGGCCACGCGCTGCTCGGCTTTCGAAATGAGGTAGTCGCATATGTTGTCCTCGGTTTTCTTGCTCCGCCCGTAGAAAGTCTTCCGCTGGTTGTGCCATTCGCTGGATAGCTTCGCTCGGCCAGTGTCCGTGGGCTTCAAGTAATACGAACGGTCGCCGTGCACCCGGTCGCCGTGGCACTCGTAGCACATGGACAATAGCGGGCGCTGGTCCGCGTACTTGGGGTCGAGCTGATTCTGGAACGGCTGCGGCCCTCCCTCGACTTGCTTGGCGAGGGCCACCGTCGCCTTAATCTTCTGGGAATTCATGCTCGGCACCACCCCGTCCTCCGTGCAGTGCACCACGCAGGACGCTACGGGGTATTCGCCCATGCAGAAGTTGCGCCGCATTGGGCAACTCACCACCGCTCGACCGCCGTCGAAGGGGCCCTCAGGAGCGAGCCGCTTGAACTTGTCATCGGGCGGCTGGGGCGCGCCCTTGCAATCCTTCCACGCGTCCTTCAAAGGAGGGGGGCCCATAACACTGGGAATGCGGAGGCGCCACACAAATGAACAAAACCAGTCACCCACATATGGCATCGCTCTGTTTTATCAACCCCGGTCCTTGCGTTTCGCAGTCGCTTGCTGAGCCGAACGCGCTGGTGGAGGCGACGGTGATTTCGCCGGCTGGGCCGAGCTGCTGGCTTGGCTGCTGGAGCCCGCCGCCATGGCACCCAGGAGTCCGGCTCGAGCAGCGGCGGCGCAGCGTTCCGGAGGAGGCGGCGGTGCCGCGCTCTTCGAGTGAGCCGCCGGCATGCTGGTGGCGGAGATGTGGATGTGGGATGGGATAGCTGGCTGACCCCGAGGGTGCAATGCCGAGCGGAGGAAAGGACGAAGAGAGCCGCTCGAGCCGCTGCAGCTGGACGAAGAGGAGGAGGAGGAGGAGGAGGAGGAGGAGGAGGAGGAGGAGGAGGAGGAGGAGGAGGAGGAGGAGGAGGAGAGGAGGGAGGAGGAGGAGGAGGAGGAGGAGGAGGAGGTGGGCCCCGGCGGGCGGCGGGAGCGCCGGGCGGCGGGAGTCCCCGTTGGTGAGAGCGGGCCGATCCCGCTTCGGCTCGGGGGGGGCCGGCTGCTGAGAGTGCACGGGGCGGTCCTTTTAGCACGAGCACGGGGAACGATCAGGAGGGGGAGCGGGAGGAGGAGGAGGAGGAGGAGGAGGAGGAGGAGGGGGAGGAATAAAAAGAGGAGGAGGAGGAGGAGGAGGAGGAGGAGAGGAGGAGGAGGAGGAGGGAGGGAGGAGGAGGAGGAGGAGGAGGAGGAGGAGGATTTTTCGCTGTTTTTTTTGAAGGGGGGGGCGGCATCACAAGGGACCCACGTGTTTTCACGCTTGTCCCGCTCGGGGGCGAAAGGGACCCACGTGTTTTCACGCTTGTTCCGCTCTGGGGCGAAAGGGACCCACGTGTTTTCACGCTTGTCCCGCTCTGGCGCGATTTCACGCTTGTTCCGCTCAGGGGCGAAAGGGGCCCACGTGTTTTCACGCTTGCTCTGGCGCGAAAGGGACCCACGTGTTTTCACGCTTGTTCCGCTCAGGGGCGAAAGGGACCCACGTGTTTTCACGCTTGTTCCGCTCTGAGGCGAAAGGGACCCACGTGTTTTCACGCTTGTTCCGCTCAGGGGCTAAAGGGACCCACGTGTTTTCACGCTTGTTCCGCTCTGGCGCGAAAAGGACCCACGTGTTTTCACGCTTGTCCCGCTCTGAGGCGAAAGGGACCCACGTGTTTTCACGCTTGTTCCGCTCTGGGGCGAACGGGACCCACGTGTTTTCACGCTTGTTCCGCTCTGGCGCGAAAGGGACCCACGTGTTTACACACTTGTTCCTTCCGCTCAGGGGCGAAAGGGGCCCACGTGTTTTCACATTTGCTCTGGCGCGAAAGGGACCCACGTGTTTTCACGCTTGTTCCGCTCAGGGGCGAAAAAGACCCGCGTGTTTTCACGCTGGTTCCGCTCTGAGGCGAAAGGGACCCACGTATTTTCACGCTTGTTCCGCTCAGGGGCGAAAGGGACCCACGTGTTTTCACGCTTGTTCCACTCTGGGGCGAAATGGGCCCACGTGTTTTCATTACGTAAAAACACACGGGTTCGTCCCCCTGGAGAGGGCGAATCTATAGGCACATACGCAACAAAACAAGCGTTTCGCTCGAGACATCCTCGGCAAACTCTGCGGAGCAAGCGTTTCGTTCGAGACATCCTCAACGCACGAAAAAGTGGCCCGCACCCTGTGATTTATCGATCGGGATTTCAAAAACAAGCGTTTCGCCTGAGACATCCTCAAATTTTAATCCGCCGGCCTCCTTCGACCTCGATATTTATCAGGGAAAAATTTCGCCGGCCTCCTTCAAGTTGGGCACGGGGGACTATGTTTACATACTAAAAGAGAACCCTGGGCCTGAGCCCTTTCCGGGAAAAAGGGATACTACGACAGGGCTGTGACCACGACCGCGACGACCACAACGAGGACGACGACGACGCCGACGAGGACGACGAGGACGACGATGACGACGGCCGTGACGACGAAGTGGTGACGAATCCAGCTGAACGAATCTGTCTCGAAAAAGCGTTGACCCGTCTCCATAAAGAAGGATATTCCGACAGGGCGGCCGACGACGACCACGATCGCGACGATTACAGCTGAACCTGTCCCTCTTAAGCGCGGTACGCCCGTCTGCATAGACAGAACTCTCCCGACAGGGCTGCGACCACGACCACGACGAGAACGAAGACGACGACCACGACGACCACGACCGCGACGACGGCGACGACGACGACGCCGCCGCCGTCGTCGCGGTCGTCGTCTTCGTGGGACCCCGGGGATTTGTGCCAACTCTCCCCCCCTCTTTTCCAGATATGCCGTGCCGTTCTCTTCGCCCGAGGTCCTCTCCACACACTCCGGGCGAATATAACAGCAGACCTGGGGGGCTCGGGCCACCTCAGATAACCCGGAGGCCCCCTTCCTCCCACCTCCCGTCTCCTCACCTGTCCTCGCCATATATGTTGTGCCATCCTGTTCGTCAGGAGGCCTTTCCGAACACTCTGGGCGATCAGGAGGGGACCCCGGGGATTTGTGCTCACTCCCCCCCCCCCGTATTTTCCAGATGCGCTGTGCCATTTTGTGCGCCCGAGGGCCTTTCCAAACTCTCTGGGCGCACAAGAGCAGACCCCAGGGGCTCGGGCCAACTGTGACAACCCAGTAGCTGTGTTAGCTCAGGATTATAATTCAGCACGTTTATGTTGATTTGCCCTAATAATATGTTGATTAGAGGATATCTATATCTAGTGAAAGATAGGTATATTTTAATTTCGTGTTGACTATAGGATAATTATCCCTAGTTATATGTTGATTGAAGGAAAATGATCCCTATATGTTGGTTGCGTACCACTTCACCGTGGGCAGCTCGGGATCCTGCGGTGATGCGCTGGACGGATGCTGGTGAAGCCTGTCCACGCGGCGTTGTTGATGGCTCTTCGGCAGCGCCTCTGCTGCTCCCCCCGCGCGTGCGAAAGAGGCGATTCGGACCAAAATGGCGCAGCAGGCCCCTGCGAGCCCCAGCAGTCCCCAGCGCGCTCCGAGACGCTCCACGATGGCCCAAGAGCGCTCCGAGGCGCCCCCGGAGGCCTTCACGAGGGCCCCAAGGCGGCCCAAGACGGCCCAATAGGGCCTCCCAAAAGTTCCAAGAGCACTCTAGGACGCCCACGATAGCCCCCCGACGGCCCAAGAGGCCTCCAAAGACGCTCCAAGTGGGCTCGAAGACGAGCCCCATGAGAGCCCGAGCAAGGAACAATTTTTCCAATCCTCCAGGAAAACTTACACTTTCTACTTTTTTTATGCTTTTCGTTTTCAAAGCATCCAAGAGGACAATTCATCCCTGTAAGATCGCCCCAGGACGCCTCAGGAGCGCCCCATGAGGGCCCCAAGACGGCCCCAGATCGGCCCCAGATCGGCCCAAGACGGCCCCAGGACCACTCCCGAGGCGCCCACGACGGCCCAAGAGGCGCCCAAGGCAGCCCCAAGAGCGGTCAAAGACGGCTCAAGACGGCCCCAAGACGGCCCCAAGCCAGCCCCAGAGGCGTCCAAGACGGCCGCAGACGGCCGCAAGACGGCCCAAGGGCACCCAAGACTGCCCACGAGGGCCCCAAGAGGCCCACAGGAGGCCGCAAGACAGTCCAAAGGGGCCCCCAAAGGCTTCCAGAAGGCTGACAAGAAACCCCAAGGGGCCCCCAAACGGTTCCCAAGGAGAAGGAAGCGCCCGCCATCAGTGGCCGCTTAGGGAGCGTTGCCCTCCTCCGTGGGTGCGGGCGCGAGCGAAAGAGCGCCGAAAAATGAACAACAACATGGGCGCTACTTCCCTAGACTATTGCCTCCCAGCTCCAGGGCGCCCTTCGCCGCTGCCGCCCAAGAGAGGCGAGATACGCTAGAAGCCTCTAGGGAGGGCAGTCCCCTACGCAGTTTGATCCCAGAGGGGCGCGGAGACAGCGCCCAAAAGTACGTGGCTCCCTGCGCGTCCACAATGAGCTCCCATGCACAGTCCACCGTGCGGCATTCCGAGTGCCCTGGGGCAGCATCGATCTTTTCCGTGGGCGCGAAGCAGACAGCAGCAGCCGCGGCGGCACACAGCAGCAGTAAGCAGCGGCAGGCAGCGGGTAGAAGCACGCTTCAAGCGGAGTTGGCCATCAGCAACAATTTGCAGCTACAAGCAGCAAGAACATGCAGCAGCGGCCTCAAGCCCTGCCAACAGCGGCAGCAAGCAGCAGCACGCAGTAGCATTCGTGGAATGCGAGGCCGGGCCCCGCAATCAGATGCCAGTTCGTGAAGATTTCGTGGGCGGAGTCCACGGGTCAGTCCTACCGAATTAGCCACCCTCCTTCCGGTGCCCACAACCCACGACGACGACCACCACCACCACCACGACAACGACGCCGACTGCGACGGGTACGACGGCGGCGTCGCGGTGGCGACGACAACGACGCCGACGATGGCGGCGACGACGGCGTCCCCGCGACGGCAAAGCTGCTGGAGCGTTGCAAGAGCTCGGACACGTGGGCGTGGTCTCGCTGCCGCCTCCCTGGCCGCCGCCGTGCTTATAGGTTTTCGGCGCAATCTCAGCCGCTTCTCCGAGAACCATTCCAGAATGATGTCGTGGACGGAGTCCACGGGTCAGCCCTAGTCAGCTATAGCGCTGGGATCAGCGCGTGCGAGAAGGGCGAGCAGTGGCAGCGGGCGCTTGCGCTTCTGAGCGAGATGTGGGAGGCGAAGCTGGAGCCCGACGTCATCAGCTATAGCGCTGGGATCAGCGCGTGCGAGAAGGGCGAGCAGTGGCAGCGGTCCCTGGCGCTGCTGAGCGAGATGTGGGAGGCGAAGCTGGAGCCCGACGTCATCTTCTCTACAATGCATGGACCCGTGCGTGCGGGAAGGGTCCCTGTCTTGATGGGCGTAAAATGCCCCACAACGGCTCCGGGGACGCCCCAAAGGCGCTCACGCGGCCCCAGAGGCGCCCAGGACGGCCCCAGACACTTCCAAAACGGCCAAAGAGCGCTCCAAGAGAGCTCCAGACCGCCGAAAACGGCCCCGACAAGGCCCAGGAGGCCTCCACGACGGCCCCAGAGACGCTCAAGAGGCGTCCCAGGATGGCCCTCGCAGGTCCAAATCATTGTTTTTCCAACGAAAAACGTCCAATTTTAGCACACACTGCTTGTCGGGAGTATGGCGCAGAAGATGGGACAAGAGGCCCCCACGACCGCCCCAAGACGGCCCAAGAGGCCCCCCGGAGGCACGAAAACCGGCCCGCGAGAGCGTCCAGAGACCCAAGAGGCGCCCAACACGGCCCCCAGGCGGCCCCAAGAGGCTCCCAGGAGGCGCCCAGGACGGCCCCAGACACCCCCAAGACGGCCCAAGAGCGCCCCAAGAGAGCCCAAGACCGCCGAAAACACACCCAAGACGGCCCAGGAGGCCTCCACGACGGCCCCAGAGACGCCCAAGAGGCGTCCAAGGATGGCCCCCAGAGGCGAAAATCATTGTTTTTTTCCGAAGAAAAACGCTCACTTCCAGCATGCGCTGCTTCACGGGAATATGGCGCAGAAGCTGGTTCCAGTCCCCACGACCGCCCCAAGACGGCCCAAGAGGCCCTCAAGACGCCCGAAAACCGGCCCGAGAGGGCGTCAAGAGAGCCCAAGAGGCGCCCACAACGGCCCCAGGGTGACACCAAGAGGCTCCCAGGACGGCCCCAGGTTTCCCCAAGACGCTCCAAGAGCGCTCCACGACGAGCCAAGACTGCCTTTTGCGGCGCCAAGACGGCCCAAGACGCCTCTACGACGGCCCAAGAGACGCCGAAGAGGCTTCCCAGGAGGGCCCCAGGAGGGCCCCGAGACGGCCCAAGACGCACCCAATACAGCCCCAAGATCAGTCAATAATGGCCCAAGACGGCCCCACCGCCCCGTCTCCAAGACGGCTGTAGATGCCCCCACCATCGTCTCCACGCCTTTCCGTTTGGACAGTCTCCAAGACGGTCTCTGGGCCGTCAGGGACGGCTCCAGAGGCGCCCGAGACGGCTCAAGAAACACCAAAGACAACCCCAAGAGCGCCCAATATTTGCCCAAGATAGCTCCAAGACTGTCCCAAGATGCCGAGAGGCGCCCAAGACGGCCCCACATCGCCCCAAGACGGCCCAAGACGCACTCAAGATTGCCCAAGAGCGCTTCAAGAGACCCCCAGGAGGACGAAAAGGGCCCCCAAGCGGCCCCCAAGAGGCGTTGGATGCTTCTCTCTTGGGGAGCGTCGAACTTCCAGTATCGTCTTGGGGGCTTCTTGGACCCACTGCGAGCCATCTCTGCGCCATTTGGGGACGTCTTGGGGTGGTGCGCTCGAAAGGTCGATTCGTGTCCTCGCCCTGGGGACCGTCTTAGGGAGTTACGTCTCGCCGCCCTCTTGCGGGCCTCTTAGGCCGCGCCCACTGGCCCCATTGTCACCACACCACATCAAATTATCATTCGGCCCCGGCGAAGAGCAGATAACTTCTCACGGCTGCCCTCCCCGCAGAAGCTATGATGAACACAGACTGCGGCGTCAGAAACAGCTGTCATGCCTACATGGGTGCGCTTCCATTGACACCGCCTCCACCATCGCGTTCCTGCCTTCAGGCCTGCTTGCCTGCATCCCTCGCCCACCTCCCCCTCCAGCGGCCACCTCCTCCATCCACACCGTCCCCTCCAACCTCCCCTTACCCGCGAGGCCCCAGAGACGCTCAACTTCCACGTCCAAGCCATGGCGGGCAGATTCCGCGGCCGGAAGGCCGCGGGTCAGCCCTAGTCTATACTACAATGCAGGGACCCGCGCGTGCGAGAAGGGCGATTCGGACCAAAAAGTGTAGCAGGCCCAAGACACGCCAAGAGGGCCCCAAGAGGCCCCCAAGACGGCCCCAGAGGGCCCCGGGACGTTCCAAGATGGGCCCAAGACGCGCCAAGAGGGCCTCGAGAGGCGCCCAAGACGGCCCCAGAAGGCTCTGGGACGCACCAAGATGGGCCCAAGACGCCGAAGCTTGGGCCAAGTCGGCCCCAGAGGCGGCCAACATGCTTCAAGAGGCCTCCCAAGAGGCTTCCCAGCAGGGCCCCGAGCGGGAGAAATCGCTGATTTCTATTGTGTGTTTTCAATGTTTTTCGCATTCTCCCCTTTTCGCCGTCCCTGCGCTCCAAGACGGCCCAAGAGGTCCCCAAGACCGCTCCAAGACCACCGACGAGGCCCGCAAGAGGGCCTCAAGACGGGCCAAGAGGGCCCCCAGACGGTCCCAAGACGCCCCAAGACAGCCCAAGACGGCCCCCCAAGACGGCCCCAGAGGGCCCCGGGACGCCCCAAGATAGGCCCAAGACGCGCCCAGAGGGCCCCAAGAGGCCCCCAAGACGGCCCCAGAGGGCCTGGGACCCAAGATGGGCCCGAGACGCCGAATATTGGGGCACGACGGGCCCAGAGGCGGCCAAAATGCTTCAAGAGGCCTCCCAAGAGGCTTCCCAGCAGGGCCCCGAGCGGGAGAAATCGCTGATTTCTATTGTGTGTTTTCAATGTTTTTCGCATTCTCCCCTTTTCGCCGTCCCTGCGCTCCAAGACGGCCCAAGAGGTCCCCAAGACCGCTCCAAGACCACCGACGAGGCCCGCAAGAGGGCCTCAAGACGGGCCAAGAGGGCCCCCAGACGGTCCCAAGACGCCCCAAGACAGCCCAAGAGGGCCCCCCAAGACGGCCCCAGAGGGCCCCGGGACGCCCCAAGATAGGCCCAAGACGCGCCAAGAGGGCCCCAAGAGGCCCCCAAGACGGCCCCAGAGGGCCCTGGGACCCAAGATGGGCCCGAGACGCCGAAGATTGGGGCACGACGGCCCCAGAGGCGGCCAAAATGCCCCAAGAGGCCTCCCAAGAGGCTTCCCAGCAGGGCCCCGAGCGGGAGAAATCGCTGATTTCTATTATGTTTTTCGATGTTTTTCGCATTCTCCCCTTTTCGCCGTCCCTGCGCTCCAAGACGGCCCAAGGGGTCCCCAAGACCGTCCCAAGACCACCGACGAGGCCCGCAAGAGGGCCTGAAGACAGGCCAATAGGGCCCCCAGACGGTCCCAAGACGCCCCAAGACAGCCCAAGACGGCCCCAGAGGGCCCCGGGACGCCCCAAGATGGGCCCAAGACGCGCCAAGAGGGCCCCAAGAGGCCCCCAAGACGGGCCCAGAGGGCTCCGGGACGCCCCAAGATGGGCCCACGCCGCCGATCCCCCGTGTGTCCTTGCAAATCGCCCCAAAACCAACGTACAATTGCATATGCCAACCTCGGCGTAACCCGGACGCTCTGCCGAAACGGTCCTCCCAGCAGGGGGCCTTCAACGACAACTCCAGATACATTGGGTTTCCCACATTTCCAGGGACGCACGGGGAAACCTTTCCAAAACCGACAACGCAGAAGACATCGGAGAACACAATGGTTTGCAAAGCCTCTTCTAATGGATTTCGGTCCGTGGGGTCGTCGTCGTCTTCGTCGTCGCCGTCGTCGTCACTGGGCCAGCAGCCGCGCATGCAACCCACCGGAGCCGTCACAACACGAAAACGTCACCATGCCATGTCAAGTGGCCCCCAAAGGGATTTGCAAGCACTTTTTCTTAGAAAAATGCTCCGCAGGGCCCTTTGGCGCCCCGAGCGAGCCTACAGTATGCGATAGTGGCCCTCGGAGGCCCTCTTAGAGCCACCTTGGACCGTCTTGGCCATCCGCGCCGCTCGGACCCCCGACATCTTGGGCCGCGTTGGCCGTTCTCACCGCTCTGAACGCCATCTTGAGCCATCTTGGCCATTCGCACCGCTCGGGCGCCCCGACGAATCCACGCTCTCCTCCAGGCATCTTGCCATCACCTCGGAGCCTTCGCCTTCAGAGCCTCGCGGGCTCAAACGGCCCAGCTGTCAGCCGCGCACGCAACCCACCGGAGCCGTCACGACACGAAACCGTCACCATGCCATGTCAAGTGGCCCCCAAAGGGGTCTGCCGTGTTTGTAGATTTTCGGTGCAATCTGTGCCGTTCCTCCGATAACCATTCCAGAGAGATGTCGTGGACGGAGTCCACGGGTCCCTAGTCTATACTACAATGCAGGGACCCGCGCGTGCGAAAAGGGCGATTCTGGTCAAAAAGTGTAGCAGGCCCAAGACACGCCAAGAGGGCACCAAGACGGCCCCAGAGGGCCCCGGGACGCCCCAAAATGGGCCCAAGACGCGCCCAGAGGGCCTCCAGAGGCCCGCAAGACGGCCCCAGAAGGCTCCGGGACGCCCCAAGATGGGCCCAAGACGCCGAAGCTTGGGCCAAGGCGGCCCCAGAGGCGGCCAAAAGGCCCCAAGAGGCCTCCCAAGAGGCTTCCCAGCAGGGCCCCGAGCGGGAGAAATCGTCGATTTCCATTGTGTTTTTCTATGTTTTTCGCATTCTCCTCTTTACGCCGTCCCTGCGCTCCAAGACGGCCCAAGAGGTCCCCAAGACCGCTCCAAGACCACCGACGAGGCCCGCAAGAGGGCCTCAAGACGGGCCAAGAGGGCCCCCAGACGGTCCCAAGACACCCCCAGTTAGCCCAAAACGGCCCCCCAAGACGGCCCCAGAGGGCCCCGGGACGCCCCAAGATGGGCCCAAGACGCGCCAAGAGGGCCTCCAGAGGCCCCCAAGACGGCCCCAGAAGGCTCCGGGACGCCCCAAGATGGGCCCAAGACGCCGAAGCTTGGGCCAAGACGGCCCCAGAGGCGGCCAAAAGGCCCCAAGAGGCCTCCCAAGAGGCTTCCCAGCAGGGCCCCGAGCGGGAGAAATCGTCGATTTCCATTGTGTTTTTCGATGTTTTTCGCATTCTCCCCTTTTCGCCGTCCCTGCGCTCCAAGACGGCCCAAGAGGTCCCCAAGACCGCTCCAAGACCACCGACGAGGCCCGCAAGAGGGCCTCCAGACGGGCCAAGAGGGCCCCCAGACGGTCCCAAGACGCCCCAAGAGCCCAAGACGGCCCCCCAAGACGGCCCCAGAGGGCCCCGGGACGCCCCAAGATGGGCCCAAGACGCGCCAAGAGGGCCCCAAGAGGCCCCCAAGACGGCCCCAGAGGGCTCCGGGACGCCCCAAGATGGACCCGAGAACCATATTGGACTGTCTTGGCCATTCGCGCCGCTCGGACCCCCGACATCTTGGGCAGCATTCGCCGTTCTCACCGCTCTGAACGCCATCTTGAGCCATCTTGGCCATTCGCACCGCTCGGGCGCCCCGACGAATCCACGCTCTCCTCCAGGCATCTTGCCATCACCTCGGAGCCTTCGCCTTCCAGAGCCTCGCGGGCTCAAACGGCCCAGCTGTCAGCCGCGCGTGCAACCCACCGGAGCCGTCACGACACGAAAACGTCACCATGCCATGTCAAGTGGCCCCCAAAGGGGTCTGCAAGCACTTTTTCTTAGAAAAATTGTCCGCAGGGCCCTTTGGCGCCCAGAGCGAGCCTACAGTAAGCGATAGTGGCCCTCGGAGGCCCTCTGAGAGCCATCTTGGACCGTCTTGGCCATTCGCGCCGCTCGGACCCCCGACATCTTGGGCAGCATTCGCCGTTCTCACCGCTCTGAACGCCATCTTGAGCCATCTTGGCCATTCGCACCGCTCGGGCGCCCCGTCGAATCCACGCTCTCCTCCAGGCATCTTGCCATCACCTCGGAGCCTTCGCCTTCCAGAGCCTCGCGGGCTCAAACGGCCCAGCTGTCATACATGGCCACGTCCGGTGCCCCCCCCCCAGGAGCCCGTTCCTCCGAGAATCATTCCAGAAAGATATCGTGGACGGAGTCCACGGGTCAGCCCTAGTCTGCTACAACGCTGGGATCAGCGCGTGCGAGAAGGGCGAGCAGTGGCAGCGGGCTCTGGCGCTGCTGAGCGAGATGCGGGAGGCGAAGCTGGAGCCCAACGTCATCAGCTACACCGCTGGGATCAGTGCGTGCGAGAAGGGCGAGCAGTGGCAGTGGGCCCTGGCGCTGCTGAGCGAGATGTGGTTGGCGAAGCTGGAGCCCAACGTCATCAGCTACAGCGCTGGGATCAGCGCGTGCGAGAAGGGCGAGCAGTGGCAGCGGGCGCTTGCGCTGCTGAGCGAGATGTAGGAGGCCAGGCTGGAGCCCAACGTCATCAGCTACAGCGCTAGGATTATAGCGCGTGCGAGAAGGGCAAGCAGTGGCAGCGGGCACTTGCGCTGCTGAGCGAGATGTGGGAGGCGAAGCTGGAGCCCAACATCATCGCTACAACGCTGGGATCAGGGCGTGCGAGAGGGGCGAGCAGTGGCAGCCGGCGCTTGCGCTGCTGAGCGAGATGTGGGAGGCGAAGCTGGAGCCCAACGTCATCTGTATTACAATTCCGGAAGAAGCGCTTGCGAAAAGGTCAAGCAGTGGCAGCGCCCCGGGCCGCCAAGAGAGCTCGCGGGCCGCCCGGAGAATCTCCGGGCCGCTGCCCGACGGGCCCAGGTTGCCCCCCGACCGCTCGCGGACTGATCCAGGCTTCCCAGATCGCTCCAAGACGGCCTCAGGAGGTCCCGAAGACGGCCCAAGACGGTCTAAGAGTGTATCCGAGACGTTTAAGATGGCTTCAAGACGCCTTTCAAGACGGCCCGAGACGCCTCCACGAGGCCCCCACAGTGCTCGAAGTGCACCTCCAAGAGGGGCCGCAGAAGCCGAAATCGTTGATTTTATTTGTTTTTGTTCGATGTTTCTGGCCTTCTCGCTTTTTCGGCTTTCCGACGCTCCAAGACCGCCCAAGAGGCCCCCCAGACCGTTCCAAGACGGCCCAAGAGGCCTTCAAGACGGCCCCAAGACGGCCCAAGAGGGCCCCAAGACGGCCCAAGAGTCGCCCAAGACGGCCCAAGAGGGCCCACCAAAGAAGGCCCCAAGAGAGGCTCAAGACAGGGACCTGGAACCGAAAAATCGAGGCCTCCACCCCAAGAGGCCCCAAGGAAACGCTGGGACGCTCCCAAGACATCCCAAGGAGGCCCCAGGACGCCCCAAAGAGGCTCCACGAGGCCCCCCAGAGGCCGCCAAGCGCCCCAAAGGGCCCCCAAGAGGCCTCAAAAGAGGGCCCAAGAGGCCCCAAGACGCCCCCAAACTGCTACCAAGAAGCCCCGAAACAGTCTCCCAGAGGCTCCCGAGAGGCCAACCACGAGATCCCAACCAACATCCACAAGATCTCTTACCCATTACCCAGGCCCGCGGCGAGATTGCCCGCAGGCCACTACAGCCGGTTCGGGGGCCCTACGTATACCAGCACCCGCACCTTTGGCTGTCTCGGGGGCCTCACCGCTGCTCTCTCGGTTCTGCTGGCTTCGACCTGCCAGAGCTCTGAGCCGCTCCCCGACGGCCCCAGGACGCCCCTGGAGCGCTCCCCGACGGCTCCCGGACCCCCACATCGCTCCAAGACGGCCCCAAAGACGCCCAAGAGAGCCGAAGCCGATCCGGCCAGAGCCCCACGACGGCCGCCCACGGGAGCCCAACTCGAGGTCCGAGACGGCCTCACACCCCCAAGATTGCCCCCAGCCGCCCCACGAGGCGCCCGAAGGGCCCAAGAGGGCTATCGTAACCGATTAAGGCTGGGCGTGGAGGTCTCGAAAAGCATCGGGTTTTCGCTAATCGCGCCCGGCCTCTCCGCGATTAGCGAAAATCCGAAGGTTCTGGCCATTCCACTGCGCCAGGACTGGCCCCCACACGGACCCCAAGGCCTTGGACACCGCCCAAGACGATCTGAGTTTCCCGAGGTTCCGGCCCCCCGGGGCCCTGCATCGACCCCTCGCCCATTCAGGGTTCCGGTCAGGACGACAACCTAGCCCAAGTGGGCTAACACCTGGAGTGTTCGAGCACGGGTTCTCTTCACGTTCTCAGATTCTGTCCAACGACGAGTTGTCGGGTTCCCCTCATGAATTACCCAGTTTCGCCCGCCCAGGGCCTCGCCCAGGCTTCGGCGACACGTGCGAGTTCGGGACCAACGCCTTGACCTGCGGGCCGTGGATCTTCCACGGGTTCACACTAGTCTATATTATATGGCCGGAGGAACCGCGTGCCGGAAGGAAAAAGCGTCAAATGCCCGGAAACGGCTCCGAGACGCTCCGGAGGCCGCCCCGACGGCCCAAAGACGGCTCCGAGCCGCTCCAAGACGGCTCCGACCCGCTCAAGATGCCCCGAAGGCGGCCCAAGAGGGCCCCGAGACGCGCAATGATCTGGCCAAGACGCCCGAGATTGGCCCAAGACGGCCCACGAGCCCCCCAAGACTTCCCAACAGGCCTCCCAAGAGGCCTCCCAAGAGAGCCCCGAGAGGCCAACATCGTTGATTTTCATTGGTTTTTTTCAGAGGTTTTTTGCTTCCTCGCTTTTTCGGCTTCCCGACGCTCCGAACCCCCCCCAGAGGCCTCCAAGACCGCTCCAAGACGGTCCACGAGGTCCCCAAGAGGACCCCAAGACGGTCCAAGAGGGCCCCAAGACGGTCCAAGGCGGCCCCAGGACGGCCCCAGAGGCGCCCAAGACAGGCCAACGGGACCCCAAGATGGGCCGAAGAGCGGCCCAAGATGGCTACAAGACGGCCCGAGGACCGCCCAAGAAGGCCCTAGGGGCCCCAAGACAGCCCAACAGCCCAAGGGGCGCGATAGACGAGCCCAGAGAGGCCCAAGAGGCCCCCAGGAGCCCAAAAGAGGTCTCCAAGAGGCGCCACGGGGGCGGACGAGGGGACGGCCTCAGGAGGTTTTGGACGGTTTTGGGTGTTAAAATCATCCGCTTTACGACGGTTTTGGAAGGATTTTGGCCTTCTCGCCTTTTTGCGCTTTCCGACGCTCGAAGAAGGCCCAAGAGGCCTCCAAGAGCGCCCCAGAACGGCCCAAGAGGTTTCCAAGAGCGCCCCAAGACAGCCCAAGAGGGCCCCAAGACGACCCAAGAGACGCTCAAGACGGCCCACGAGGGCCCGAAGACAGGCCCAAGAGGGGGCCAAGAGGGGGACCACGGACCGAAAATCCGAGCATTCCGCCCCAAGAGGGCGCCAGGAGGCCCAAACAGGCCCCCAAGAGGTCCCAAGGGGCCGCCAAGAATCTCCCAAAGAGGCCCCAGGAGGCTCCCAAGGAGCCCAGACCAGGCCCCAACAGAGGCCCCAACAGCTTCCAAAATGCCCCAAAGAGGCCTCGAGCCCGCTTCCGAGCTTCCTCGCCGCGAGGGTGCCAACACGGCCCCAGACGGGCCCTGGACGGCCCAAGGCGCGCTCAAGACGGCCCAAGACGATTCCAAGACGGTCCCAGGAGGGTGCGCCCAGGACGGGCTAAGGACGCGCCCGGTCGGGGCCTCAGGACGGGCCCAGATGGCAAGAGAGCCTCAGCTGTCAACATGATGGACCCACGAACCCGGAAAGGGATATAGAAATGTAGAGCATGGGCACGTTTTCACGATACCCAACTGGGCAGCACCTCACGAAACATCCCACGAGACACTTCACGAAACATCCCACGAGACACCTCACGAAACATTCCACGAGACACCTCACGAAACATTCCACGAGACACCCCGCGAAACATTCCACGAGACACCCCACGAAACATTCCACGACGACAGGCAACCACTCAACCAAGGCGGTGTGGTCGTGCTGGGGAGTGGTCGTGCTGGGGTGTGGTCGTGCTGGGGGGTGGTCGTGCTGGGGGGTGGTCGTGCTGGGGGGGTGGTCGTGCTGGTGTCGTGCTGGGGCGTGGTCGTGCTGGGGCGTGGTCGTGCTGGGGCGTGGTCGTGCTGGGGTGTGGTCGTGCTGTGGTGAGGTCGTGCTGGGGTGTGGTCGTGCTGGGGTGTGGTGGTCGGGATTTGCTGGGGTGGGGTCGTTTCGCTGCGGTGGCGCCGTGCTGGGGTGTGGTCGTGCTGGGGTGTGGTCGTGCTGGGGTGGGGTCGTGCTTGGGTGGGGTCGTGCTGGGGTGTGGTCGTGCTGGGGTGTGTCGTGCTGGGGTGTGGTCGTGCTGGGGCGTGGTCGTGCTGGGGTGGGGTCGTGCTGGGGTGGGGTCGTGCTGGGGTGTGGTCGTGCTGGGGTGGTCCGCACCCTGTGATTTATCGATCGGGTCGTGCTGGGGTGTGGTCGTGCTGGTGCTGGGGTGTGGTCGTGCTGGGGTGTGGTCGTGCTGGGGTGTGGTCGTGCTGGGGTGTGGTCGTGCTGGGGTGTGGTCGTGCTGGGGCGTGGTCGTGCTGGGCGTGGTCGTGCTGGGGTGTGGTCATGCTGGGTGTGGTCGTGCTGAGGTGTCCCGCACCCTGTGATTTATCGATCGGGATTTCAAAAACAAGCGTTTCGCCTGAGACATCCTCAAATTTTAATCCGCCGGCCTCCTTCGACCTCGATATTTATCAGGGAAAGAATCCGCCGGCCTCCTTCAAGTTGGGCACCGGGGACATGTTTACATAGGAAAAGAGAACCCTGGGCCTATGCCCTTTCCGGGAAAAATCGTTAATTTTCCATTGTTTACTGTTACACCCTTTGCGTTTCCCGCCGTTTCGGCGGTCCGATGCACCAAGAGGCCCCAGAAAGTCCCAGGAGTGTCAGAGGAAACGCCCAGGAAGGCCCCAAGACGGGCCAAGACGAACCCAGCACAACCCAAGGCGCGCTGCGACGGCTCAAGACGGCTCCAAGACAGCCCCAAGAGGGTGCCAACACGGCCCCTGCTGGGCCCAGGACGGCCCAAGGAGGCGCACAGGAGGGGCCCAAGACGACTCCAAGGCGGCCCCCTCACGGTCCCAGACGGCTCCAAGACAGCCCCACGAGGACCCCGATGGGCCCAGGACGGCCTACGGACGGCCCATGAGGGGCCCACGACGAACCAAGACGGCCCCATCAGGGCAAACGGCGCCCTCAAGACGGGCCTGGACGGCTCCAAGACGGCCCTTTGAGGGAGCCAACGCGGCCCCACACCCTTCGGGCGCACACTTGGGGGGGCTGGGAGCTTGCGACAAGTCTCCCACATTCATTGTCCTGCCCCATTCTGTTCGCCTGGAGGCCTCCTCCAACCCTGTGGGCGAACAAGAGGAATCCCAGCGGGACGCCAACCCTGGGGCCCGTGGGCCCCGCGCCGCTTGGGCAGAAGACGAACGCCAGGTCTGACAGG